TTAAGGGGTGTATTTGGAAATTTTTAAAAAAGCTCCTAAAAAGCTAGTCTAAGTAGCTTTTCAAAAAGCTAGCTTATAAGCTACTTTTTGGCTTACCAAACACGACAACATAAAAAAGCTCAAAAAAATAAGCTAGCTTATCAGCTAGCTGTGGCGCACCAAACACAGCCTAACTTGGGAAGTGTCAAAATAGTAGGTTAAAATATGAAGTCTAGTGAAAAATAACGGAGTTAGACAAATAATGAATACAAAGGTCGGGACATGTATTTATCCAAAAACTCATTAATACAGTACACAAAAACATCTTAATTTCATAACATCATTAAAGAATAATGTAATATCTGTAATGCATGACATGTATTATTGTAACATCTTTATTTAGGTCTAAATTTTTTGCATTTTTAATACAACTTACATGTTTGACAAATGAAATAAAATAACGAACTCGTTCATGTTAAATTACAATGGTCTATCAAAATTATCACAGTTGTCATATTAATGTTAAGGTAGTTCAAAATTCAAATACAACAAATGTAGCACCCATAATCATTATTTATTTTTTCTAAGTCACTATCATAATCTTGTATTGCATATTCTCTTCATTCTTTTCATTTTATATAAAACAAACTCGTTCATATTTTCCCAAAGGTTGGTGACATGGGATCAATCATTTTCTATTTTTTTTCTTTTGGTAACATTGTTAAATAGTTTGTCATATTTTTTATTCTTTTTTAATAATTATTATACAAAGTACTTACGTATAAAATTGTGTGGATAACAATGCAACATCCTATCAAAGTCGTGCTAAAAATCAAACTTATATAAATATAATGACTTAAAACAATTGGTGTATTCTTTTCCCAACTTTAGTAATTAGTATATATTCGAACCGCATGATCTCAATAACCTCCACACTTGGGTTTCATTGTCTATTTTTTTTTATTATCTTTATTTTATTGTTAGTATAGTAAAATCAAACACTCACAATTACAAACAATATTGGCTTTTAGCTCACTGATATAACAAAAAAAAATAACATTAAAATAAAGTGTAACGTTCTTAACCTCTAACCTAAGATTTTTTTTTCTTTTTATTCAATTTTCTCAAACCTTTTATGCTGAAGTGAACACAAATTGTTTACCATCATTTTTATGTGATGGATAAATGTTAGGAAAAAATCTTCACCTTATACCATTAATGTTAAAGAATATATTATATATAAATAGATGAAATATGCAAATTTGAACATACTTGAAGAATTATGTATGTATTTTACTATAATTTAAGGCTTTCATTACTATTCAAATCTTTCCAGAAAAAAAAACACTTTTAAGGATAAAAAATAAAAACTTTTAAAGGTGTTCATAGTGTGATTTATAGTCGAAATCGTAAAACATAATGCGTGTGTGTTTTGAGATTGTTGAAAATTACAAACCACACCGTAAACGTTCTAAACAACATTATGTAGCGTACTAGCGTGAGTAGACAACCATATGCGATTTGTTAAAGGAAGTCAAAGATCAACTCACTATATTTTTTAAACTCATGGTTGCATTTAAAATAATATAACATTAAATGTATATTCCATAGAACTTTAATATTTTAAAAAGTTTATAGGGATAAAAATACGAATGAATTATATAATTAAATTTTACTTTGAATTATTTAGTTTAATTTTAAAAGGAAAGACCTTTATTTAACATGATGATGTGAGATCAAACTTGTATCTATCATATGTAATTTTATACCATATATCATATATGATATATTCATAAATTAATTATTGCATGCAAAAACTTCAATCATTTCGTTGTAAAATCATTTCAGTTGTAAGGGAATGGTACCTCCAAGATTACATTCCTTCAACAAAATGGGTAAAGTGGGTTCAAACATTTTTTCTTCTTCAAGGAGTTGGTAAAACCGCTTCTTTTTCTTGTTCTTTTTCTTTTTCTTTTTCTTCTTCTTCTTCTCTTTCTCTCTGGCTTTCTCTTTATATTCTTTTATGCATTAGTTAATTGTACCTCATGCTTTAAAACTTGTACTAAATTGTGTTGATATGTTTTTAATTTTTTTTGTTAATTAATTTTGAATGATTTTAATTTGTGTGTATTTATTTTAAAATAAAAAATTGAGTGAATTGGGAAAAATAAAGTTTTTATGTGTTGTGGTTTGAAAAAAATAAAAGAGAGAGGAAAAAAAACTGATTTGACACTAAGTTGAGCGAGTTGAAATGAAATGACTCCCTCATAGTCATATTTTGCTAACTTATAATTCAATTACCTTTGGTGATATATTAATGGAATTAAATTGCAAGAAAATCAAGTAATATTATATTTGCCAACTATTTAGCTCAAAATAGATATTTTGACCTCATGATGGACTCTTAAAACTCAATCATGTTATAATGAATTATATTATGAAATTTATCCTTTATTTATATTTATAGAATAAAAATGTCTTTTAAGTTTGTTTAATACAACGATGTGGGGATCAAAATTGTTTCTATCTGATGATTTTTTATCATGTTTCCTATTTCATATCACTTAAATGACATACTTAAAGAAAAACCAAATATCTATAAAAAAATAATAAATAAGTTAATATTTTATTATCACATATTGTTTAAGAAACACAAATCAATGGGAAACAACATCCCTTATATCGTTGTTCTCTTTTGTTTGGTTGAACCAGCATAGGCATGGGTCACAAAATTCTGGAAATCATAAGTTTCTATTTTGGGATATTTCAATGGATATATGTGATGTTCACTCTTATTATTGAATACTAAAAGTATTCAAAATAATTTTCAACGTATTAATCGAATAACCTCTATTATAATATAAATGACCATTAAAAGTTTAAAAAGAAAAATCGTCATGTTTTCAATTGGACTGAATCAAACAAAGAATCGAATCGCGAGGATATTTCGAAAACGAAACAAAACACGATGACATCTGAAAAATCAGTTTAAGGACTGAATGAATCTTCACATTTTTGATGCTGAAGGACTAAACGTGGCCATAAATTACTATTCATGGACGAAAAGTACAAAACATTTGTAACACCTTGAACAAAGGCCAAAACTTGATATCGTGGGGAAGGTTGCGTGGCCTTCTTTTGCTACCCTATTATCGTGTACTCAACAGTCAACAGAGCAGGTTGCCACAAGCTACTACGGCGATGGCGATGCTCACCCGCCCCAATATCACGGCCTTGTGTGCCTACGGTACCCATCTCTTCAGATGCCACAGTCTGCGCCATTACAAGTCTCAAGCTCTTGTTCGCCTAATTGTTCCAGTGGAGAAGTTAGGTCGTCAACAGCTTATCATGCCCAAGCTTCACATGGTGGGTCGTCGGAGCATCAGTACCCGGGTTACGTCTCCCTCAAACGCTTCTGGACCTATCGATTCGCCATTGATGCAGTCGATGCAGAACAAGGTTTGATAATTTCTAAGCTTATGAAATGACTGGATACGAATTGAAAACCTGGTTTTTACCGTGATTTTTTTGGTTCATTTTAAAGTTTGAAGGTATTAATTATCATGCTAGTTGTGTGTCTTCCATTCGATTATTAGTTTCTTTAATCTATTACCCCCATGGATCATATATGAAATCTTTGAATTTGTTCAATAAGAAACGAGTTGAGAACAAGATGAAAAATCCCTTATTTTGCGATATGTTACAAGGGGCTGTGAGAAATCTAAGAGAACCTTATTGGACATGGCTAACTATGCATTTTATTTTGGACAGATTAAAGAAGAATTGAATGCGGAGTTAGTAACAGTTAATGATGCTTATGGTGATGGGCGGCATGTTAGGTGAGTTTGCATTCGAATTTTCACTCAAAAGATGGGTTGAATTTATATGTCTGATTATGCATCTATGTTCAACTAAGTAGTTGTTTGGCTAAAATTATGAATATGAAAGACTGCTCTTTCCATCTTGTAATGAAACAGACTGATTTGTTATTTCAGAGAGATCTTTCTTGGAATACCATCACAGATTAGGCTAGTGTTTGGCATGAAAAAAAGCTGTTTGTACTTTGTTTGTATGATGCGTATCACTCGGTATCCTATCACTTGTTTCACTATTTCAGTAAACACCATATGAAACTTTCTTTCTTCCTTATTTATATTACTTTACTTTCATCAAATGGATTATAGGTATCTCCTTTATTTTTGTAGTGTTGGATGAAACTACTCTCCCTCCCGATTATATAGTTGATTCTCTGCCTTAAGAATCACATGAGATTATCTTCTAGCGAGTCTTATAACAAAAGCCTAAAGCTTTGCTTATTTTTTATTTTATGTACTTATTTGACCTCAACTTGTGCATGCCAGTTTTACCCATTTTATACTAATCATTGTGCAAATTCCTCATGTGCATTACCTCTAGTCTCCGAGCTTTGATATACCTCTCTAAGTTCAATGATGTTGATTGAACATCAATAGTTAACTTATGTTGCTATTATTGTTAACATTTCTAAGTGAATGCAAATGCACAAATGATTCTTTCCATGTATCTTGTTATCATTAAGGAATTGAATTTGAAACCTTATTCTGTTTTCTTTTGCAGCATTGATGTTGTGTCTTCAGCTTTTGAGGGAAAGTCTGCTGTGAATAGACAGCGGATGGTATACAAAGCCATATGGGAGGAACTTCAAAATGTCGTGCATGCAGTTGACCAAATGACAACCAAGACCCCTGAGGAAGCAGCATCAGGGAAATGAAGTCTTCTTGAGAATCTTTTATATGAATGATCTTATACATCTGGTCTGTTAAATTCACTTTTATTTGCTTCTTTTGTAATCATTGGATCATAAATGTAGAATCTTTTCAACATTCTATTTTGAACACTATGGAAATAGCTCAACTATTATTTTCTTGTTGCATGGAAATAAAGGAAATGGAATCAAATGAAATGAAGCTTTATATGAAAATGAACAAAATGAAAGGAATCAAATAGCTTATATTCATTCTAATGGAATGTGAACAATTTAACCAAGATTGCTTATATGTATGGAAGTTTTAATGCAATTTACATTTGACAGTATGTATGTTTCTTATATACAGCTATGAATATAACCTTATACAAGAATTAAACCAATCCCCCAAAAGAAAGAAAGATGTACACAAAGTATTGGAAGATTGCAACAGAATCAACTTATAGATGGCAGCATAGGATTCATCCCAAGTCCAGATCCACCAAATCCACCTGGCTCTGCATGTTTCACTCTACCAGAATACCTGATATGACGCAGCAACCTCGCCAGAAATGTATTATGGCATATTGTTGAGCTGTCACATACAACTGCCACGTGTTTCCTTGCTCTTGTTATTGCAACATTCATCCTTCTACTATCCCCCAAAAACCCAACAGCCCCCAGAGTATTTGATCGAACCTAAACAAAACAAAAATGTAATCTTTTTATATACCATAGAAAAAAAGATTTCAAGAAACCATTCAAGATTAAACATATATGATATACCATGGATATGATTACTGCATCAGCTTCCCTCCCTTGAAAGCTATCAATAGTTGCCACCTCAACACCATTAGCCAATGGTATCTCATCCAGACTGTCCCTTAGTAACTGCACTTGAGCAACATATGGCGACTGCACTGCAATTGCTGCTGGACTCACACCTGTGTTGTGTACCATTACCAATACAATGTAAAATGACCAAACTACCCCTGAAAACATATATATATATATATATATATATATATATATATATATATATATATTAATCACTCCAAATATCCACATACCAGCATATATTAATGAAAGAACATGTTGAACAACAATATCCGCTTCTCCTTCATTGTAAAAGGAGCCAGTGCCAGCTAGATCCAAATGCTCCTCACAACCAGGTGATAAACTTCCGTAAGGCTTCCGTGTATCAAGGAGTAGTAATGGGCATTGTGTTATCCATGTGGGCTGCGTGCAATAATACAAAAATATGTAATTCACATTTTTGGCAAAACAATCTTTATGTTTAAAAAAAATTAAAACTTGATAATACCTGAACGAAAGGAGAATCAACAAGAAGATGAGAGGAAACTGTAGGTGAAGATGTCAACAATCCTCCATACATTTCCTTTGAAGCCCAGCTTGAAATCGCATCATTCATTCTGTATTGTGTTGTTAACTTAGTGGCAAGAACACCTTCATGTAGACTTATAGATCTTTCTAGAAGAGAAATCCCAAGTCCACCTTCTAACGCCTTTCTAGAAAGAATCACAGGTGCCAGCTGGCACTGATCACCAGCAAGAATACATCTTTTCCCCTGCAATATTGGAATCCAGCAACACGGCTCAATAGCTTGTCCTGCTTCATCTATAACCACAAGATCAAAAGCATCAAGACGTCTGATCAACGGGTCAGCTGCCCCACTGTTTGTGGTCAACACAACGTGTGCATTGACCAAAATCTCCTTCACCATTTCTTTTTCTTTTTTCTTATACGCCTTCCCTAATTGTTTCAACAGCTGGCGAATTCCAGCTGCTAATGAATCGTCTTTCAGACATTGTCTCAGATCTTTTCTGAGATCCGACTTCTTTCGTTCAAGTTCAGATCGAAATTTTGAAAGCTTCACATTCACAATCTCAACTAAAGATTTCGAAGCAACAACTGGAGATATTCTCGCAGGATTACCAACTCTTACTATGTTGATCCCCACATCTGATAATTTCTCAACCATGTTATCAACAGCAGCATTTGTAGGTGCTGTTACTAACACCCTTTCACCCTGTTGAACAGCACGGACTATTAATTCCTTTAACAGACCAGTTTTTCCAGTGCCAGGTGGACCTTGGATGATTAAAACGGGACGTTTCTGGTTCAAACCTAACGCAATTGCCTTTCTTTGGGCGTTATCGTAATTTTCTATGTATTTGATTCCGGAAAGTTCTGTTTCACTTAAGTCAGTGAAATTGTTGTCTTCCAGCCATTTGATGTCATCTTTGTCCCCGAAAAGTGTTGCTACAACTGCAATTGAAGGGTTGTTTTTGTGTAGACCTTTTTTCTGTAGCATCATTAAAGCTTCACAATTGCGCTGAAATGAACATGAAAAAAGAATGGTAAATTTATAGCATCCTATTTGTATTAATAACAATAGTCAATAGTAATTAACAAGTACCTCATATGTAACTGTATCAGCCAATCCATAGATCCGATCTATGCGCACAGTTTTACCAAATAACTTTGAAAAAGTGGGATCACCATGTCTGGATTCTAAAGCCAAAGTGATACTACATCCATCTTCCCCCAAATTATTCACAAATCCTTGCATACCAGAAGTTGCTCCAGCTGCACCCCTGCTATCACATGTCCTCACACACACCATGTCTCCAGGAGACAGTGTTGTAGGTGGCAACCTGTGATTTCCCTCCACTTTAAACAACACCAAATGCATCCCACCTAATCCTGTATAAGTACTCACTGCAACCAAATTGCATATTGTATCACATAGTTCTTGTTCTGCTTGTCCATGGCTTACAAGGAATTCAATCGGTTTATTTGAATCAGAAGTTGTAGTTGCAGGAGCAGGAGCAGCATCTAGCTCCTGTTGGGTGAATTCCAGCTCAGCATCCCTTTCAACACGAAGGAGGTTAGCCATTCTTTCTGTGAAATCATCAATCTTGTTTTGAATTGCTTTAACTTTCTCCAATTCCATGCCCAAAACACCATGAACAGCTTTTGGTAGTGACGCCTTCCGTGCAATGGCTTTATGTTGAGCTGAAAGTGATTATAACAACTTTATAAGATTGTTTAGGATTGATTATCGAATGGTATAGAATAAAGAAAGAGTAAAAAGAACCTGATTTTGCAAGTTCCTTGAGCAATTTCCATGATTTGGTTTTTTGCCAGTCTTCAATTAAGGATTTGTGCTGAAGTTGTTGAAGAGCATCCCTTAGCTCTCTCTGGAAATGATCGAAGAGTGTAGGGTAGTGTGTGCAGGCTTTCAAGCATACAGATTCAAGGCCGGAGGGCATTGGAATGGCGCCAAGGTAAGGCTGAGCTTGTATAACGAAGGTGAGACCTGGACCCATTCGCTGTCTGACCTCGGAAAACTCTCCCTGCAACTCCGCCTCCCCAAAATCGGTGGCCATTGCTTTCATCCCTTGGCTTATCCACTTAACCACAGATTTCCCCAAATCTTTCCTGCCAAGAGGATCACCGTTTTGGGATAAACTACGCACGCTGAATGGTCTATCTTCGGCTCTGTCTTCCTGCTTTCCTCTGATTTCTGAGTAATTATCAGCCACCACAGGTTCACCTGTGATTTCCGTACGATTCTTCTTCTTGTTGTTGTTGCCGGTGCGTCGTCCTCTCTTAACGGTGCTGATACTGACGGCGGTTTTCTTATCGGAACTGTTCCGGATGTTGAATCGTAACGGAAAGGTCCAAGACGATTGCGAAGGGGAGCATCCATGATAGGAAGAAGATGAGAATGAGGAAATATTCAAGTCAAAGTGACGGAATCGGAGGAGGGTTGGCGACGCTTCCATCCTCCATCTTTCAATACCCACAATTCTATTTGCTGTTACACTCACACTTCCCACACCACAACCGCTTACCTGCATCACCATCTAGATCGTGTTCGACTTATACCTCCGGCAGTTCCGGCATGGCCAGTTGTCGTATAGGAGAATATTTAAGTAAGCAGCAAGCTGAGCCTCCTCCACTCCTTGAATAGGAAGGTGCAAGGTGGAAGGTGGAAGCCACGTGGCAAAGGAATCTCCTTTCTCTTTGATTCAGAATTTTAGAGGAAGATAAAGATTCTTGTAAATGTAACGGGCTCCTCTTATTTTAGAGACGACCCTGGTCATAAAAATGGAAGAAATACAAAATCTCCTCCCTGGCTTGAGCGGGATCACAAGTCACAAGTTGGGTAGACTGTGACTGTGTGGTTGATTAGCGACATTTGTGTCTTGTTTTTGTTTGTGTATACGTCTAGTCGACGTGTCTTTTTGCTCTCCTCTCATTTCCATTTCCATTTTCCTCCCAAAGGCCAGTGAACAACTTGGAATCTGGAAGCCCAAATCACCCTCCACGCGTAACCAAGAGGCGTTTGGACTTTGGACTTTGGAGGATGCTAATTAGGCCTGACAATTGGGTTGGGTTCGGGTTGGCGGGTCAGAATACATTGACCCAATCCAACCCATATAATATATGAGTTGGTGGGTTGGCGGGTCACGGGTTGAAAACATCAACCCAACCCAACCCATATAACCCGTATAAGTATATGGGTTCGTGGGTTAGTGGATCGAACCCAACCCGTATAACCCATTTAATAAGCAACACATTTTAAAATGAAATTAAAAAATATAAATAAAATGAAGTCATAAAGTCTCAAATATTCAACATAAAGTCATAAACAAGAGTGACGACGACGAGTGGTGTGCGACATCCGGAGGACGAGAATACGAGTAGTGTGCGTGTGACATTGCGACTGTCGATGACTCGATGCCTCAATCGACGGAGACGGGAGACACGGAGTCGTGAGTTTGGAGACTGAAGACTGAATTTCTTATTGATTAGGGGCTTCTTAGGGGCTAGGGCATGCTAAGTCGACTCGAAGATGTTTTGCAGTTTTGGAATTCGGAAAACGATTAAACGATAATCAAATATTCAAAACTGCTAAATAATTAAATATATTTTTTAAACATTATATATATATATATATATATATATATATATATATATATATATATATATATATATATATAATCGGGTTGGCAGGTTGACCCGCGAACCCAAACAGGTAAACCCAACCCATTAAATAAACAGGTTGGTGGGTCAAAAATCTCAACCCAAACCCGTTTATTTTCGTGTTGGGTCAGTGTCGGGTTGCGGGTTGGGTCGATGATTGCCACCCCTAATGCTAATTAAATTGAGAGTAATTACAAATCTTAAGCTAAGGGGATTTTGGCAACGATTAGAGGCTTAATTTGTCTCAGAATAAAAATCTATTATCTGCCTCTTAAAAACTGGTTTTTAGATAAATGATAAAAATAATCATCTTTAACATTTTTAATTGATGTTGAATGAAATGGTTTTGTTTGATTAAATATTTGAATGGATTTACCGAATAGTTATAAAAAATACAAATCATCAAAGAAAAAAAAATACAAAACATCATATAAAAACCAAATTAAAAAATACGAACCATCATATAAAATTCAAATCCAACAAATCTTTTTAATGTTAAGCATTTTAAAAAAATTGATTAACAGCATGAATCATATAAAATGGTCATATATTTGTTGTCTTGTAAATCCCATCCAAAACATATATTGGATGGGATTTACAAGACAACAAATCTATGACCATTTTATGTGATTCATGTTGTTAAAAACATACATGACATCAGTAGTAAACATGGTGTTCTCTCTTCAAAAATCCATAAATAACTAACCGTGAATATTTTATTTCCTTATAAAATTATGGACTATAAAACGAAAATGTTGTCGTAGAAAAATTTATGACCCGAAATCCGACTAATTTATCTATTAATATTCAAATATATGCATAATGTATTTTCTTTAGTCAATAAAAGTAGTGTAGCCGAAATGACTTGGGTCTTCACTAAGATTAAATTTTTTTTTCCTTTTTAAGTTTTTCTCCTCACTAGAATATGTACTTAGAGTGACACTTTTTTACTTTTCGCACAAGGCTCATGGCCTTCAAAATCACCGCACGAGCCTTGTGATTTTTCCTTCCTATCTTGATCCCTCCAACACTACTTAAAAGTGTCAAACTGTCAATGTAACCTCGTTTTAAACATTTCTTTCAATTTAACATATTTCTCAGGTACGTACATTGATTTAAATCTCGTAAGGTAACATTACACTAATTTATTTAGCACCGTTTCTCATGTAAATACACTTCGTTAAGTGAATAAATTGAAATAAATAGTATGAAATCATGTGAAGGTGAAGGAGTTGGTGGTCTCATTCAATATCATATAGTTTATAAGGGTTGATGGTTTCATTCACATATGTTCCCTAGGAGCTGGTGGTTTTATTCAAATGATCATATATTTTATAAGCCCCCCCCCCCTTTTCTCCATTAGTGCTCTTTTGGAGAGTAAACCAAATACTCCACATATATCTTACAATAAGTAGCACATATATATTTAAAATATGTTATCCAGACATTTCCTAATAGGTAAACGGTCTTAAGTAGAATGTTATTATTATGATGAGGTGCATGTATGTGCAAATATATTATTGGAGTCGACAAATATGAATGAGGTGCTATATTGGAATGAACTGTATGGAAAAAGGTGGATATAGGAAGAAGAAACTTCTTAGCTACTCCATGTGATGTGAAGTCAACCACATTAAATTGTATAGCAAAACTTTCATTTTTTTGGGCTATAACCACTAGGGGGGAGGGAGTCATGGCAGTGGGGAAGGGGGGGGGGGATGTACCAACGGTACCTCCAAGATACCATCCCTTCAACAAGTGGGTCAAGCAGGTAGATGGTTACAATGCATATGCATCTCAGCGGATTTAAGTGTGACATCCATAAAAATCAAGTCAAATTTAAACTTTTTAAAACATTTAAAAACCAGTAGTTATTACAAATTTGTTTTTAAAATAGTTTCGTATCAGAGTATCCTAGAAACATAGTCATAAAATGTGAGGAGCTGTGCAATCACACCTTTGCCTTCCCGCGATTATCTGAGGTACCTGAAACCGTAAGCCCGAAGCTTAGTGAGTTCCCCCAAAATACCGATACATAACAACACATAATAACAGCATGTAATGGGTCCACAACTCTGCAGATTGGATTACCCCCTAGGCCCACAGTGTGAGTCTGTTTTGCCTTACGGGCCCACAACTCACAACTGGCTTGCCTCTGAGCCCACAACATAAGTCTGGTTTGCTTTCGAGCCCACAACTTATGACTGGCTTGCTCCCTGCAGTCCTACAACTGAAACATATCTGACTTGCCCTCAGCACGAGTCTGGCATACCACTTGGTCCTCAGCTCGTATCTGGTATGCTAATGAGTCCTCAGTATGAGTCTGGTATGCCTTCCCGGCCCTCAACTCATATCTGGCATACTCCAGGGTTTGTTGGTCACTACACGAGACAGTGCAACATGTCTACAGGTAGTCCTATAGATCTACCTAACTGGCATAGCAAACTAGCATGCATAATCATCTCATATTCAACACGTAATCAACTACTGGGATATCGAATCCAATGGGCCGGCCTTGGTGCCTTAGACCCCTTAGTATAGTGAGGATAACTCACCTCTCAACTGACGAATCGAAATGATAAACTTGAACTCTCGAACCACGGCCATGAACTCCACCACCTATATTTACCATAAGACCATATCCATAAATTTCCAAATTACCAAAATACCCCCAGAGGTCAGACTGGTCAACCCTTGGTCAAAGTCAAAATCAACAGTCAAAGTCAACAGTCCATGTTGACCCAACTCGTCGAGTGCAACTAGCAACTCGTCGAGTTCCTTAAGGGTTCAGAAGGTCATAAAACCCTCACTGACTCGCCAAGTTTACCACCAACTCGTCGAGTCTATGCGTAATATGAAGTCGAGGAAACCCTAACTGGCTCGTCGAGTCACCCTACTGACTCGCCGAGTCCATGCAGAAACCTTCAAGGCCAAACTTCATCGGACTCGCCGAGTTGGCCAAGCAACTCGTTGAGTCTCTTTAGTCCTTTCTCCGTTCAGATGCTTATAAGCCACCCCAAAGCTCCATATTGCAGATCTGAGTTCCTAGAGCATACTTCTTACGTAAAGTTGCAAACTTTACGTACATGCAAGGTGATAATGACCCAAATCAAGCTAAAGAAGAGATTCTAGGCAAGGGAAATGCACTATCATGCTAAAGGCTGAAACTTTATGATTATAAGGACCAAGATGGGCCTAGATCTAAAGTTGCAACTTCAGATCTTGGTTCATCACCCGAAATGAAACACCAACATGCTAAAATGGCCCCAAAACTCAAATATAGAAGGATCTAGCTAGAAAGAGATCAAGGTAACGACTTGATACCTTCAAATGATGCTAAACTGGGGTAGACTTCAGATCTACACACGTTCCTTGCCTCAAACTTCTTGATCTTCAAGCTCCTTGCAACAAGATCTTCCTTCCAAGCTTGAAAAATCACACTAAATGGGGCACACACACGAATTAGGGTTTTAGAGCTCAAGGGGACGGTGAGGGGAGGCCAAGGGAGGCTAATGATCCTTTAAATAGGGTGTAAACCCCGGAAATTAGGGTTTCATCCCTCAGCTCCAACTCATCGAGTCTGTCCTCTGACTCGTCGAGTCGGTCACTTAAGACCCGCGACCAAAACCGTGCATACTCGACGAGTCAGGGCATCCAACTCGTCGAGTCGACCTTAAAAAATTGGAAATACAAGACTGAAAGTTTATACCTGAGAGTCGGGGTGTTACATTAAGAACCCGCTTCCTTTCTCTCTCTATTCTTCCATGCATTAGTTAGTTGTACCTCATGCTTTAAAACTTGTACCAAATTGTGTTTGTATGTTTTTAATTAGTTTGTGAATTAGTTTTCTATGTTTTTAATGTTTTTGTTGATTAATTTTTAATGATTTTAATTAGTGTGTATTTATTTTAAAATTAAAAATTGAGTGGGTTGGAAAAAATGGGTTTCCATGTGTTTTGGGTTGAGAAAGATGGAAGAAAGAGAAGAGAGAAAAGCTGATGTGGCAGTGTGTTGTGTGGGTTGAGAGGAAATGACTCTCTTCACCCTTAGGCAAGGCACTGTATGTCATAGAGTCTGCAATTTTTGGGTATTCAAGTTCTATTTTTCCAGATACCAAAGTCATGGCCGACATATT